ACCCCGTGCCTCTCGCATGCGAAGCGAGCGCTCTACCATATGAGCTACACCCCCATCGATCAGCCTCGGTCGGCCTTGCATTAGTGGAACAATCTAGACAACATTTATTAATGGTTAATCTCTGTCTGAGGGATGCCAAAGTGCATGGCAGGTGGCACAAAAGAAGTGCTGAAAGGTGCCGTAGTTCACAGACGTGCCCAACGGCTCGCATTCCACCACACATCGTTTTGTTTTTCCCGCATTAAAGTCTCTTCATTCATTGCTCACTGCAAACACTAATCCCTCCACTGCAAAAGCAATGGCAATTACCCCCTTTGCTACATCCCTACAGCCATGAGAGAAAATGAAACTCACATGCTTTCTTTTATTATTCACTTACCACCATTAAAGGTTTGGAATATTTATATACTTTTTTATATCTATATGTTCAAAGGCATGGGCTGTTTGAAGGCACTAGACTGCATAGTCATTTGCCATCCTACTACATCTCCTTATCTCCACGGATTTTCTGGTCGACTTTGAAGTTTTTCCAAATCTGGGGTGACGAACGCTGGGACTGCAAGTTCTTTTTATAAGGAGTTTTTGAGAAGTCTTGTCCAGGGTGTAATTGTAAAGGACAAACACACTTTTTGTTTACAGGGGAAATCGTCATCTGGCAATAACATTGACATTATGAAGGTTCATGGGATTTGGGTTTTCTTCTTTGTGGTCGGGTTAGCTTTGCTTGTCTTTACCTTCTCCAGCAGCTCCTCCATTCCTGGTATAAATCTTTTAACTTGTCTTCTTTCACTCCGATGACTGGTCTAGATAATTCTTCATTTGTCCTTTAAGAGAAACTTCCTGGGTTTTTCTTCACAACTGGAATAACGGTAAATGCTGCATTGGAGAAATCCATGGTTTGGTAACCTTGGCAGAACTGGTATTTAACTCTGAAGTTGTTTACTTCTTACTTCGGATGTTAGCTTTAATTAGTTGAAACCATAATACTTTGCATGAACATTAAAATGTCAATTAATCTTAATTTTTTGAAGTACTTTCTTTGTTATCTGGCTGATATTATCAAATTACTTCAAACTTTAACTTGGATTTCATATATTATATATCTATTCTTGCAATTTGGATTTCAGAATAATTTTAAGATGAATCGGGATTTGATTGTTAAGGAGAAGTTTATATATTATGAACAACCTGTAATGTACCACTCTTGGTGACTGAATCTGAGTGTTTTGAACTGTTAGATACAACAGCACATGGCTTGTTTTTATTTACCAAAAACGACCTCCCCACATCCTACTTCTTGTTATATTGTTGTTTGTCAATAACTTCGGTGCACTGTCTCAATTTTTTATTCTCAAGTTGTCTTCATCACCTCCCACTCTTGTCAATTTTTAAGGTAACTGTTTAGTTTTTCAGTTAATTTTGTCAAGAGAAACTTGTTATTAGCTTGTGGGCTTAGGGTGGATTTAACCCAATAATTTATTGGAAACTACAGGTGGCTTCTAATTCCATCTTACTGCTAACTATCTGATCAACTTAATTATAGGTTTGGTTGGCCCGTTTTAAATCATGTCATGAATGCTATAGCTTAAATTGCAGCTTGCATGTCAAGGCAATTCATGATATTTTATCAAACCTTCTTCATTGTCTGATAAAAAAATGTCCTCTTGTTTGCTTAGATGATAATCAAATATTCTTGCTAAAACTGATGCAGTGCATTGGTAAATCTAGTAAATGCCAGCAGCTAGATATTTATCATTGTATAAATAAAAAATCGTTACCATATGTTAATAGCAGTCGCCTACTTAATGTCATTCCAGGTATGGAGTTTTCCCAGCTTGGTAATGGTGTGAGTATAACAGGAACAAGTAGAAAGCTGAAGGTACGTTCGCAACATGGCCAAAATCTACCGTGGAACCTTTTCTTATTGGATTTTGAGACATTTTCCCATTTGAAATTGCAGGGGAATGGCTGCAATCTAAGCAATGAAAAGAAGAGCAATGTCGATCTGGAAGATTACCGTCCGATTGATCCAGTTCCAAGCTCAAAGGCAGCTATAAAACCTGGCCCCATCGAGCATGGTAGTCCTCTTATTCCATCCATACCAAAACCTTCACCTCCCGCTCATCCCAATAGTGGTGGTTCCACTTAGCCATATCTAAAACTCATTTCTCAGTAACAGATATGATTTGAAGAATGTAGCACTGTAATCTGCATCTGATATTTTAAGCAGCTTGTTTTCTGTATCCTGTCCAGACAATAACTTCTAGCTGCCTACTATCCAGCTTATGTTTGTGTCTGAATGTGTGTTTGGTATTTGATCTTGTATCGTGAGTGTCAATTCCCATTTCCAGAAATAACTAGTTTAATTTTATGCTTTCTAAGTTTAGTTATCGTCTAATCTCCTTTTTCCAGGGGTACAGTTAGCACATCTATTTGCACAACATAAGATTATCATCCAACTACAACAGAAAACAGTAAAAAAGGTGTAAACAGCTGCAGACTGGTCACCCAATTTACACAAAGTGAATGATTAGTAGGTGTCAACTTTGGTAATTGGTCAAAGAAAACTTGATGGAATTTAATCTCCCAAAATATGAGCTGTTATTATCCAACTTACTGAACATCAACGACCATGATCATCATTCTGACTTGACATCTGTGCTACTTGTCTACCTCATCAATCGACGGGCTTGAGGCCGTCTCCTCTCTTACTCACTTCCCATCAATGGATGGAGATTGCTCTTTGCAGTATACGAAACTCTGTCAGCATAGCTTTGAAAATGAAATCTTGTCTCCTTGCTGTAACAAAAATCCATCATGATGAATCCACCCTGGTGCTCATTTCTTCTCTCAATTAAAAGCCCCCCACCCTATTCCTTGTTCCATTTTGTCTGGTTTCTTAAATAATGGAAGCAGCAAATTATCAAAGTTATTACTAGACCGTGCCAATTTGTACTTAAAAAGTACTTTTACCAGCATAATTTTTCACTCGGAATGTCCCTGGAATTCTTTCAGGAGGAAATCCACTTTTTGGCTTCCTAAATTGCTGGCTCTGGTTTGAATTCAGAAAAAAAAATTTTGCTTACAAAAAGGTGAAAGTAAAAGATATTTGCACTTATACAACCCATAATTTGCAGTAACTAAAATAGTCAATGTAATCATTACATAAAATCATGAACCCATGTTAGTACTTGTACTACATAACTTGATGCCACTTTCCTTTTACGTTCGTTTATTATGCTAAGGTATTGTTGTTTTCACAACACTACCACTTTTTTCTTCTGTGGTCTGCTATTCATGCCGATTCCATGTTCTTAGAATATGGACCAGGCGAAAGATGCTAACTAGAAAGATCGAATTTCAGCTCGGCTCAACTCTATCATATGGTAGTAAGATTCAGTTATAACTAAAAAGAACGAAAACAAGACATCTTTAAGTTAAAAAGGCCCAAAAACAAAACATTATCTATTAAAAGATGAGAATTGAGATCAAATTTGATCTCTATCTTGAAATTAATAACTAAAAACTCACATGGTGAAGTAATAAAATTTTCAAAATATTATTCTGTTTTATTCTTTATTTATTCTTTTCAATCTTTACCATAATCTTTAAATTTCACTTACAAGTAAAATGTTACGATTTTAATAAAAATCATTAATTTCACATTGAAAAAGATATCATGGTTTCAACGAAAGTCATTAATCTCATATCAAGAAAAAATATATAATTTCAAAGAAGAGTCGTGAATATCATGATTCTAATAAAAAATCATTAATCTTAAATAAAAAAAATGTCATGATCCCAACGAATAATCATAAACCCCTACTACTAGCTTGTCCATTTTTCCTTTGCGTATGATACACTGGTATGAGTTAATGCTGGCCAGGTATCCCTCCCTTTAGCTCCAGCAATCGTTGAGAAACACTTGAAATCCCATGCTCCTCAAAGCCCTTAAATATTTCACCTACTGCAATGCTCTTTGCATGTGTAAGGCTAAGGCTACTTGACTTTTTATGGGCAACATTTTGACCGGCGATACATTGCTTCCAAGTGGACTGAGTATTACGTGGAGGTGAGCTACCAGGCAACTAGCAGAAGACAAGCACAAAACATGGATAGAAAAAAATCATAATGCCACGCCCATGGTGGACCTGCTCACAGAAAAAGACTAAAGCTAACCAGGATACAAAGAGAGGGTGACCAAATCACAACCAAAGCTGAGCAAGCCAACGAAAATGGGAATTTGTTTATATCACCAACCGCATTTACTTCAACACACAAAAATACTCACGTCTCTTGTTCCTTAAGTTATCTTCATAGCCATTTTTATTGGTATTCCTTCATATCATCCAATCCTTTACCTCCAAAGTGAAACACTTTGACCCATCAAATCAACATCTCACCAAGTGTATTTTCCACCTCCTAGCATATTGCCAACTTCTTTTGCCCCAACAGCTTAATTGGAACACAGAAGGTCATAGTACAGTGTAGCAAAAGTGACTGCTTTTATTCAGTCACTTCCTATAGATATCTATCACACTGTTCCCTTTTTACTGGGCTTATGCCAAAGTGGAAAAGTAGACATCATAATCACCAAAGCAATGGAACCATAGGAACAAAAAGACCATTTATGCTGGCCAGCTACCATATATGCTTGAGTTTAAAAGAATTACTTAATGAGGATTAGTTACTTTAACTCCAATTATAAATGAAGTGATGTTCAAGGCATGACGTTTTCGATCTCCTACTAACCATCATTTGTTAATAAAGTTTCGATTTTAACTGACAGCCATCTCTGGGCGCCTATAGTTATTTGGCAGATGTCAGTTCTGACCAAAGAGATTAAACTCTACCGATCTGCTGTCTTAATCAATCATTTGGGAAATTGGCTACTCACTCATATTGATACACCTGCCATCCCCGTTTTAATGCAAAATTTTGTTTAGGAAATTGATGGAGGAAAATGAAGATCTTTCAGAATATTCCCTCATGAAATCAAACGAACTTGATTTGGTAAAATGTAATTATGTTTATGTTTGGATCCTTAAGGGACTCTATATGGTCGTGTTCGAGGACCTGTAAATCTCTCTTTTATTGGGTTTTTCCTTACCATTGCTAATGATGGAGAGAAAACAAGTGGAGTTACTCCAACTACGGTTTTCAATCTAATAGGATTCCTGTTAATTATAGCAGGCTTGTTTTCCATGTGTCCACAAAAAAATAATATAAATTCCATTTCTTCGGTGGGGAACAAATATGTTTTTTCAGCTTCTGCTACAAGCAATAGCTTCGTTAAGCAAAGTTAAAAGCCATGATATGATACCAGCAGACATAGACACTATACTCTGGTTTTTTGTAAAGAAATTGGGTTTTTATTTTGATATTCTCTCTGATTAAAACTGACCCACTTCGTATTGCAAACAGGAAAGTGGAAACTCTGCCATGTTATCCATTTGAGTAACCTTTTTTTTTCTTTCTTCTCTTTGTGGGGTTAATAGATGCATGATTCACAATGCTACTTTTTGATATATCTTTGAATCATTTTGAGAATTGATCACCGTCAAGTGATAGGCCTGCCAGTCTACCACAAAGCTTCAAACCCTGCAAGCCTGAGAGAAAATGTAGAGAGAGGTCAGAAATGTGGGACAGATGGGGAGGTAGAGTGGCGAGAACCCATATTATAAAGCCGAGAAGGCCAGGGACTATGCAGACAGTATGGGACGGAGCATCCTGGAAAGGGTTGCTTTTGACTAATGATAAACATTGCGGTGTTTTGCTCCTCTTTGTGTTGGGAAGTGGGGGCTCTCTTGGCCTTCTCTTCCTGCATTACCAATAAGCTTGTGACCAATAGAACAGTAATCTGGTCAGGGTACTTGAGAACACTTCCAAGGAAGGACACTTTAGCTTAGTTTTTCATTCACTTAAGCAGATAATTATTACCATCATTTTCGTTAAGCATCTCTTTCTTATTGGAAGAATGATTGCTTATCATGAGTGAAGTTGATTAACAAATTTCTTCCTCATCACATTTCATTATCGCCCACATTACTCAATGAATAATTAATTCCCCTAATTAACTAATTATTTCGGCCTTGCATAAACATTCGTCAAACTCTGCCTTACTTCATCAGCCATATCGGGTAGGAAAAGCAAAAACAGGTAATGCTTCCGTAGACAAGAATTGGAATAATTCATAATTCTTGCAGACAGTATACCATTACAAAAGAGAGAGGTGTTGAGGAAATTGAGTGCCAAAGAAGGAAACGCGCTTTTGTTTGGGGAAGGGGGTGGTCCTCTGATGGAATTGAACTGGAAGGCAAGGAAGCATGTGTTTGTGTCTGGAGGATGTTGTAGGAATTTTTGAGAGTGTCTGCTCTCTCTCTCTTTCTCTTTGTGTGTAGGTTTCATTGAATCAAATTTGTTCTTCATAACAGATTCTTTGAGTGATGCATAGAACAACAAAACCTTTTAGGACCACACAAAAAAAAGAAAAGACTGGTTCATTGCTTAAATGCGTTATGGACACCGATTTAATGTGAAAACTTTGATGCAATTAATTCCAGACTATAAGCGGAAAACATGAGCCATGAAAACAAACTATCTCTTTCTCTTCTTTTGGGGTGGGGAAGGGAGCAAATGGTCAGCATGCACACACACAAGTGGAGAATGGAGCACGCGTGGCTTTAAAATTTAACCATAAATTAATGCATTAAGATGCAGCAGCCTAGGAACTCAACTTCAAGTTTGTATTTGCCTAAAACATTTTGAGCAACAAAATTTTATAGATTCTTTGTTTGACTAGTTTAGAGCAATCTAACTTAATTGATAGTTCCATTTCATTCCAACTACAGTTTTAAGTAGTTTAGGGGTTGAAAAAAGACAAAGAAAGAATCCCCAGCGTTGCATTTTTCCAAGCCAAGCATGGGAAATTGAGCAAAGGGTTGTCTAGGAGTAGATTAAAGAACTAGAAAACTAATTGAAGCAGCTGGCTGGAAGTTGGTGAAATTAAGTAGCCACGTTTTCATGTATGATAGTTAATAAATTTCCTAATTTATATTAAAATAAAGATTAAAAAAAAAGGGAAAAAGGAAAGAAGAAAAAGGTGCCTTGATGTAAAAGCGTGGGGAGGAAATGGAATATAGTACAAAGATTATAGAATAATTAAGGTAATACGTAGAAGATTAGAGGTAGGAGAGGGTTGGTTCTTTGACACGGGTGAGGAGGCTTTGATCAGGTAAAGAGTGGGGTGGAGTTAGAACAACTCCAAGGAGGATAATTGTCACTTCGTACTTTCCAAGCTCCCAAAAGTTCGTCAAGGCTTTGGTTAATGCTGACGCTAATAACTGTGCTTTATTTTAATTATTTGGTCTTCGGCTCTATGCTCATATTCCTAGGTCTCTTCAGCCCTCACACACCCTAGCTAGCATAATTAAGGCATTTGAGTAAAGATGACTTTTCCTTTTTAGAATCTATGAAAATTTTAGTATGAAAAAATTAACTAATTTACCTCATTAATAATTTGCTTGATTACCTTGTCCCTGTTGCATTCATTGCAACTAACAACCAATTCTCTCCTCTACTTCTGCCTCATTATAGTTCCAATTTATTTCGATCTAAATCATTTTGGTCTAAAACACATTTATAAATAAAGATATTTTTCATTTAATAATTATATTTTTTGAATTGAAAATGTAACATATGAGTTGTAATATTAGAATTTTATCAAACTTTTCATTGATGTGGGAGTCTCTATGAAAAATACCAGAACAATCTATAAACTCAATCCATATCAAAAGTAAGTTTCTCTCCTTTTAAGGCTCTTTTATGAATTAAAAAATTAATATAATGAAAATATTACATAATTAGGTGAGATAAAATATTATGAATAACATATCAATATGAAATGAGATAAATCTTTAAGATCTTTCTCTATCTATTGATATCATGTTATTTTTTTAATAATTCAACATTTACCTTTTCAATTATAAAAATTAATATATAAAACAATCCAATATTGAACTCAACAATTGATGCATACCTTACTTTATGAATTTATTCATCCAAATAAAAAATATTAACTCACAAATATAAAGGAAACTATTAAATAAATATTCAAATCAAACGTATTTATTGAGTCTATAAATAACATGATAGGAAAAACTTAGTTAAATATTTTTCTCATAGGAAATAAGCTTGGTATCTCACTATTTTATTTAAATTTTTTTTTTCTGATTGACTGAAAAATTAAAAGGGAAAGGTCAATATTGACAACAGACTCTTGGTAAAGTCGTTGATTGTCCCATTTGGCATATTGTACAGGAAATTTAAACGGCTATTTTTGCTCTCATAATAATTCTCTCTTAAAAGCATTTAAATTCGGGCGTCGTTAGCGTAAGGCTAACGTCTGCCTGAACATTTCACAGCCCACAACATCTTCCGCTTCCCTCCCCCAATTCCTTTCCTCCCGGAAGAAATATCCCAATATTTAGCGTGCAATTGTAATCCCCACAAAACTCGCCTCCACGTGTCAATTATTTTACCATATTACCCTCACCTACACACGTTGCCACTCCAGCACGCGAGTGGACATTCACCCATAAAACCCTGCGAGTACAATCATCCTCTTCAATTTTGAAAAACAATTAAAAATTAATTATTGCAATTTTTTCTTAACCCTAAGCACCGAAGAAAAAAAAGGCTAGTACGACCGTTATGCTCTCAAATCTGGCCTAGACATTCCCCTTTCACTGCTCTCACTCTCTCCGCTCTCTCTTTCTCGCTTTTCCTCTCACGCTCTCGTCGGCAACGGTCATTTTTGCGCTCTTTCTTTTCCACTCCGGAAATTCTCACTGCAAAGCTTAATAAAAAGAAAAACTCTGGAATTTTATTAACTCTAAACTCTGGTTTTTTTTTTCTTTATTAATTTTTGGAAGTGAAGTTTTCGGGGATTATAATAGATGCGGTTAGGGTTGGGAGGAGAGTGAGATTAAAGAATCAGTCAGAGTGGAATTGAATTGTGAGTGCACGCAATGGTAGCTGCAGTGTCCGCAACGGTAAAACCCAAACAGCACGGAGGAGGGCCACACCAACATCCGTCACGGCCTCCGTTATTGCCTTCCGACCCATACAATGCCATCGTTCCCCGACGTCAAAAATTCCGAGAAGTCACTTCTCGTTATTTGTCCACGTCGTCATCCTCCTCAAATTCTTCCACGTCATCGTCATCTTCTTCCGCGGCTTCCACCAAACGGTGTCCGTCTCCGTTCGTTGCGAGGACTTCTCATTCGACGGCCGTTATGACGCCGACGCACGCGACTCCCTCAGCCATCAAGCGCTCGCAATCAGTGGAACGGAGGCAGGCGGTGACGCCGCGCCCTAATAATTCTTTCGATTTTAGAACCAGTAACGGGAACAACAACAACGATGAATTGTCCGCTGTTCAGAAGTTGCTCTTTACTTCGACGAGAAGCTTGTCCGTTTCGTTTCAGGGAGAGTCGTTTTCCTATCAGTTTAGCAAAGCCAAACCAGCTCCCTCTCCAAGCGCGGCAAGAAAAGGCACGCCGGAGAGGCGGAAGCCTACGGCGGCAACAACGACTCCGGGGAGAGCAACAGATCAAATGGAAAATTCAAAGGCGGAGCGGTGGCCTGCGAGGTTAAGGCAGCCATATTCGATGAGTAGAAGCATGGATTGCACCGACCAGAGGAAGAGATTAAAAGGATCTGGGAACGGCAATGTAGTCAGGGCACTACAAGATTCCATGATTGATAATAGAGATTTAACGGTTGTTTCGGCTGTTGGATCTGAGGCCCAATGTGATCCCGCGGTTTCCGATACTGAAAGTGTTTCTTCTGGGAGTACTTCCGGAGCTTTAGAAAGTTCTTGTAACGGTAACGGGGAGATTAAGCGTGGGCCTCGGGGAATAGTTGTCCCGGCTCGGTTCTGGCAAGATACTAATAATCGGTTACGCCGCTCAGATCCTGGTTCGCCAGTCTCTAAGAAAAATACGGCGCAGTCTAAGGTAATTGCACCAGAGAAGTTTGGAATTGATAGTCCTTTATCATCTCCGAAAAGTGTAGTGAACAGCAGAGGGCAGTCATCGCCAATTCGCGGGCCAGTTCGGCCTGCATCGCCGAGTAAGCTTGGGGTGTCCTCAACTTCGTCTCCTTTGAGGGGAATGAGTCCCTCCAGAGTGAGGAATGGGTTGGGTAGTAATTTGGTAAATACGCCGTCAATTTTGAGCTTTGCTGGAGATGTTGTTAAGATGGGCAAGATTGGGGAGAATAAGGTTTCAGATGCTCATTTTTTGAGGCTACTTCATAACAGGTTGTTGCAGTGGCGTTTTGTTAATGCTAGAGCAGATGCTGCTCTGTCTTCCCAGAGGTCTAATGCAGAGGTATGGCTCTAAGAACTGACTTTGAATCTTTCTCTTTTTGCCTGTTGACCATTATATTTGTTTGATGTATGCTACGACGCTGTCAATTTTTGCATGCTTTACCATTACAACTTCGATAGGAATGAAGGCTTAATTTAGTTTGGCGGTAAAACTCACAGCAAAAAATGTTGCATACCATCACTTTGGTAGCTAAGATTTACCTTTTGTAACGGGAATGCTGAGTTATATATCATGGCTTCATGTTATGTTTAATTTGTTTGAATGCATTCCAGCTGCATTGTAATTTGTCTTGCTCTTACTGCCTGGAATTTTCAGAACTTTTGCTCAAAAGTCTAGAAGAACCTGGAAAACAAAATTGTGAGTTGAATCACATTCATGGTAAAAACACAGACAGTGATGGTTTTGGTAGAACAAACTCTGTAGGCCACTTCTGCTTGGGAGGGATTTAGCTCTGGGGCTATTTGGTTATTATGATTTGATTGATTATAGTTGCTTTTGTGGTGTAGAAGTAGTTATGTTATCATTTACAAGCTGCATGTGAGAGTTGTTTTGAGGCTTAAGTATTGGTGAAGAGCTGGATGATTAGATGTTGGTGTTGACCATTTTGAATTCTCTTGTGAGTATGTTTTTCTTCCCCTTTATAAGCAGCTTTTGTTAAGGATATGCTTATTTCAGACGTGTAAAAGGATATGTTAGCACAATCTTTGATAAGCGAAAATGGATGAAGATACTAGAAAGAAAGAGGAACATGATGATAGAATGGGATGAAAAGAGACTGCATGCTTGTTTGGCTTTTCCTTCACGCTAAATGCAGAGCTCATATGAGATAGGCTTAATTTCAGATTAAAGGTCAAGAGAGCTGAACGTATAAGAGGAAGCGGCTGGTCATTAGTTGCTGATCTTCTTGCTCTAAGGAATGAGTCAAAGAGGGCGTTCCCAACGTTGGGAACAATTCAATCAAAATTATGTTGTTTTAACAGTTGATTTAATTAACATTGATTGAATTAACTTTTGCATTGTTTGTTTGTGTAAGATACTTCATTTTAACCATCCTATAGTTTTTCAGGTTACTTACATGTTATGTTTTTTTAAATATCTTCATTTAGTTAGTTAAATCTGACGAAGAATTCTTTCCTCATCATGGTTTCTGTAACAGAAAAGTCTTTATAATGCATGGATAACTACCTCAAAACTGCGAGAATCAGTTAGAACTAAAAGAAATGAGTTACAGTTGCTGAGGCAAAACTTGAAGCTGATTTCCATCCTCAAGGGGCAAGTAAGAACCATCTCTCCACTCTGGCTTTGTTTGTTGTTGACTTGATTTTCACATGGGTTGTTTGGGATGTCTTCTCATATTTTGCTGATCTTAACTTGATTATCCCTAGTTTTTCAAAGTGTAGATCTCTGTCTCACACTCTTTGCAGTTAACTCTTTTCCCCCTTCTTTTTTCCTATCTTCCTCATTAAGTGTCCTTGAAATTGGAACTTGAATGTCTAACCTCATGAATATACATTATGCAGTTGCTGCTTTTATCTGAAGAAACCTGAAATTTATATTCTTGTCATCTCTGTAGTTGTTGTTTTATTCAAAATATCTGATTTCAATTGCATGTGTAAGTTCATGCAATTCATACCTTTTCATCTATTTGACTACTATATTTTATATTATTTTTAATTGATGAGTGCAGATGATATTTTTGGATGAATGGGCTGTCCTGGACCATGATTATTGTGGTTCTTTGTCTGGAGCGACTGAAGCTTTAATGGCTAGCACACTCCGCCTTCCAGTTGTAGGTGGGGCAAGGGTAAGTTCCTTTTTCTGACTTTTGTCAATTTCTTTATGCTGCGCCATCTCAGTCGCTAACGTGTTAGCTTGCTTTGGTCTTAAAGAATTATCTTGCTTGGCATTTCATTTGTACAGGCGGATATCCCAAAGTTGAATGATGCTATTTGTTCGGCGGTTGACATAATGCAGGCAATGGCATCCTCCATATGCTCATTGTTATCAAAGGTAATTCTTTCATTTTTTTTTCTCCTCATCCTTAACCCCTCCTTCCCCCATCACCCTCCTCCCTCCATTTCCCCTTTTTATGTGCAAACTTTGAGTTTGCCTTTGCCCCTTTTTTAATGTTTAGTAAGAAACATTAAAAACCTTTTGCTGTCCTAGGAGCTAGTTTTTAACAAGCTGCAATCTGCAAATACTAATGTAATAGTGAAATATTGCTACCTGTCTGAAGGGTTTTTCTTGGCCAAATACTAAGGTTGAGTACTCATTTAGTTATTAATTTGTTTCTTTGTTTATTTTTAGGTATTATGCCCTGTATTTAAAATGTTTTGACCATTTATAGAGATTTGCTTTCATTCAATGATAAGTCATTTGAAGATGAGCTATGATAAAAAGAAATATGATGATCTCATAACTCTGCATTTGTATAAAAGGCCTAGGTTTAAGTCTTGTGGCCTTCGTTTGGTTCCTAATCATTTTGAATGATGAGTTTATACTACGGTTGACTGGCTTTGGTTGATTTTACTAACCCAGTGAAAAGCAAAAAACCATCCATACTACAGATAAAGTCACCAGGTTATCAGTATGTTTTGCTAATTGTTTCCATTTTTTTGTAATTATGATATATCCTTCATCAACAAATAAACATCATTTATCTGTTCTCCAATTACCCTGTTTGTACTCTACACAGAATATTTTCTTGACTAAAGCAATCGGCAATGATTTGTATCGTTAGAAATGCTTGTAACCTTGTGTTAAAAAGTTACAATTTTCATCACATGACATGTACAACAATGTCAAAGGTTGATCTCTGGTATAAGCTTAAGCCTTAGAGCTTCTTGTCTGACTCAACTCACGTGATCGTTTGAGTCGACTGGATCGTCATAATACGTTTACAGTGGCTGCTGTAAAATTCTTTATGATCCGTAAAGGGTGAAGTTCTGATTTGTAGCAGTAACTGCAGATGCTGATCAAATTGATTTGGGTTACTGAAGTTACCATTTGAACTTTGGATGAACTATCATTCTCTTTTGAAGTTGTTTTTATCCTCTATTGTAATGTTAGTAAGCAGATTTTACTAATCATCATCTGTCCTTTATGCTTGCATTTAATTTGTCTTTCATTTTTTTGTTTAATAGGTTGCAAAAGTTAACTCTTTGGTGGCAGAACTTAGAAATTTAAGTGCAAATGAGTTTGCTTTGCTTGATCAGTGCAAAGAACTTCTGTCAGCAACTGCAGCCATGCAGGTAAATATCTTATTCGTTTTGCTTTATTAGAGTAATTGTCATATATAACTTGTTTCTAATCTAAGTGATCTATTGACCAGGTGAAGGAATGTAGCTTGAGAACACACCTTTTACAACTAAACCGATAATCCTTTACCTTCCAGTTTGACAACAGAATTGTAAAAAGATGAATGATTTCACTGCCCTTCCCTAATACTAACATGACGTCAAACCCCACTTCCATTTCATCCGAATTTGTGGTGCAAAAGGTAATAAGGAAAATGTTCGATGATCAATTGCAATTTACAAGAATGAGAGTGATCATTTGGTCCTTTGTTTTGATACATGAAAAATTTTAGCTTTATGTGTAATTTGATGTGTAGGCTGAAGGAAATGATTCTCATATGTGAAGTTAGACAGTATACAGGTACTTTTGTTATTTTTTTTTCCTTTTTATATAGGTCAAAAGAAAGTGTGTGAATATGTATAAATGATGTTTCCATTTTCAGTCAATGGGTTCTTAATTTAGGTATTGTTTTTGTCTGCCTTGATAAAATGTTTAGTTTATTTGTATTTGGTTAGGAGTTCTTTTCAAAAATACCACTCGTATGTAATGTGATGTATTTGAAAATAACTTTCATTATAATTTTAATTATTTTTAGTTAAGAAAAATTAATTTTGAACAAAATTATCCTTAATGAAACCGAACTATATGTCTGAGTCTCAAATCCACTTATATTTTGAGTTTTTCTTATCAGATTATTTATCTTTAGAGTGTTTTTTATTTTAAAAAAACCTTTAAATATTTTACGTATTTTGAAATGGTTTTTAATGCATGAAGAAAAACTTTGGAGCATGTTTAAGTATTTTGAAGTGATATTTGATGCATAAAGAAAAACCTTTGAGCATTTTTTATCAAGTAGGCATATTCGTTAATTATGTTGTTAAATAGAATATGGTGTATTGTTTGAAGCTGTTGATTTTATTAAATAAAATTTAGTAGTTTTGGTGGTTTTTGAGTATTGTGTAATCGATTTTTGAGCATTGTGTGACTAATTTTTAGATATTACGTGATTAATTTTTGAGCATTGCGTGATTAGTTTTTAGGTGTTGCGAGATTAATATTTAGATATTACGTGATTGATTGATACGACATTACGTGACTAATTGATAAGCATTGCCTGATTGGTTAGTAAGACATTGTGTGATTAGTTAATAAGGTATAGTGTGACTTAGGCATTACTTAAAATATGACATTACGTGACTAATTGATAAGCATTGCATGATTGGTTAGTAAGATATTGTGTGATTAGTTGATAAGGTATAATGTGACTTAAGCATTACTTAAAAATTAATCACACAATGCTTAAAAATTAATCACATAAAGTCAAAAATTAGTTACGTAATGTCTAAAAATCAAATACGTAATAATTAAGTTACGTAATGTCTAAAAATTAATTTCATAATATCTAAAAATCAAAGACACAATGCCTAAAAATTAGCAATTTTATACTTAATAACAAATTAATTTGTTTGCTTGCAATGAGGTTTAAGTTGTCAAAGTCATAAAGTGTTCTAATTTACAAATATGTATAATCAATTTTAATTTTTGAATTTTGGGGTTTTATAAATAAATCAATAAACAGAATAACTTAAAACATATATTTTTTTCTAAGCCATTAAATTGTACATTTCATAAAAAAAGATTACAAAATTCCATGATCTTCCAAAACAAGATAAAATATATCTCTAGCAGGCAAGCTTTGCTTACTTCATTTATGGAAAAACAAAAATATACTCATTTTATAAAATCATCTTTAAATAATTCTAACTTAAAATCCCATAAAAAAAAACAAAATCTTCAATAAATATGCTTAATAATCATCTCAATCTCATACACAACAAAACCGTAAATCACCATAAAATCAATCAAACATGCTTTTGCTGTTATTTCTCCCGGAACCCATCATCTTAACAAATCTGATCTAACTCATCAATATAAGCATCTTTATCGCAACACATGTTTCGAAGCAAATCATTACTTGAAAGCATCTAATTATCATATTCATCATGCTAACTACAATCAGAGTAAAATTACTGTTTATTGTTATTGAGAACTCCAAAATGCATTATCCAAAAAAAATAATACAAAATAAGATGGATGTTATCTATATTCTTGGGAATGGTGAGAAAGAGTTGGACGGTAAAACAGATAATATTTGACAAGAAAGAATTGGGCTTTAATTTTGAAATATTTATCTGAATGGCAAGATAAAGAAAATCGAAACTATTTTAATTTGTCTAAAATTGTTTAAAGGGTCAAATTATATCAAAAATTGATTATAAATAATTAAAATTATAATAAATGATATTTTTGAATTAAACTTAATTTTTTCTTTGGTTAAAGTGAAAACTACATATGACCCCACCCCTCACCCCTTAGGGCTTTCTTGGTATGTAAAAAAAAATTAAAAAAGAAAAGACTCACATGCTATTAAGAAGCATAGAATAATGGAAGGAAATATTGGCATGAGAAATGACAAATATTCTTAGATGACAACCATGCTAATTAAAAGTTTATCTAAGTTGTTTATCTTAAGATAAATTAAAAGATGACAGTATCTTTCAGACATGGTGGGGGTTTTGGATTCAGCAATCTTTGATAATTGGAGATTAAATGTCCATTGAAATTTACTTGGCCGCTTTCTGCCTGTGTTTTTCCTTTCCTCTTTGGAAGAATTAATGTATCATTTTAATTCATGATCACTTTGTACCATGAAATGGAAGTAATAAAATCTAATGGATATGGATTCGTTAATTTAACCAATGAAAGAAGAAGGAAAAGGGGTTTTGCACATCATACGAATATTATGCAGTTCTAAGTGATAAGATTACAGAGCTATTTTAATCTCTAATCTCTATATTCTCTTTGTAAATTTCCTGGCAAAAGGAATCCATCCTCTAGAGGATTTAGCACACTAAAACTTGGTCTTCCCTGTTGGCATGTCGTGGTGAATAGGTGATTCTATAGGTTGTGGCCGTGTGGGAGATATCCAATATCTACTGTGAGTGAAGTTGAAATTGAAGTCATGTGGGACCCCACCGCATATGCTAATAGACGCGGCGAAGCGATGGAATGGAACTAAAACAAGCTCAGCTCTGCTTTTTGGTTAATTGAAGTCCCTTTCCTATCAATGAGCTTCTGTGAAAGACAAACAAAAGAAAAGAAAGAAAGAATGGGTGATGCCGTGGAACCCACTTCCAACGGAGGAGGACTAGGGGCGGGGCAGCCTGACGTGCACCGCACCAGTTTTGGCTTTTACAAAATCTTAAGCCTTGGGACCCACCCCTTTCCCTTCTCCTCCCTTCCACCATTTTTTGTTTGCTTTCTTTCTTTTTGAAGTTCCCTTTCTGTTCCTCCTTCCTTCATTTTCATATTTGCATGAGACCAAAGAGTGAAGAATCAGCCGACTTGATGTGAGTTTCCAGCCCTGCTTTGCTTTGCAACTTGGTATATTTTCTCTGTTTTGATCAAAGATTCTACCAATATTTTATCATTATCATCGTTGTTTTGTTTAAGTGAAAGGGAGGTTAGGAAAAGAATATGACAAGGGATTGATCAAGATGGCTGAGTTCCCCCTCTAAACCTCTGATTATCCTCAAGAACTCATACCTCAGCAACTTCAACGCACCAAGTTGAAGCTGATGGGAATATCATCTTTCCAAATTTTCCAAGGTTAACCCATCCATCATCTTCTTCGGGGCAAGAATTGGCCAATCATTTCTCATGGATAATGAAAGCTATTTGCAAAAGAATAGGCATTGAGAAGAACCAAATTATATTTCCTTTAAAAAAAATTATAACGAATGCTCAATATTAGATAAAGCTGATTAATCATCTCCTATCTTTCCCCAATTACAATCATGAAACTGATCATTGCTTAACAGGACTCCTCTTCTCATCCGTTTTCCTCTATGTTTCTGTCTAATCTCTATATTCCTATGAATGAAACGTGTCAGGCGGTGGGCATGTTCCAATGACTCAGCTTTATCGTCATTTAACAAAATCCAAGAAATTAAAATTTAAGAAGTAAAAAACTTCCTAATATTATGATTATTATTATTATTATTATTATTGTCTCTTCATTATTCACTACATCGCCGGCTTATCAAAAAAAGACCGTTTTCCCAAAAAAAGGAAAACAAAAAGCCTTTGTTTTTGTCAAACAAAGAGATTCAAAATCTTTCTCTCTTGGCTTCCTTCATTTTCGTTGCTTTCAAAAGTGGTTATCTCCGATTCCTCCGAGTAAAGCGACGCCGCCGCCGCTCTCGCTCTCTTCCTTTCTACTTCGTATCGCCTTCCGCTTCCACGTCTTCCTCCACCTAACTTAGTCGACAAAGAGAGGCTTAGATCCGAAGCTGCTGAAGCCGATTTATTCTCCATCATCATCATCGTCATCAAAGGCTTCGACTGAGCGTACCGGCTTTGGAAATCGCCTGAGTTGGCGCAGAAACGAACGGATGACTCGTCGCAACTTGGCGTCCAAACTCCAGCTAGAATCCCCGGGATCGGCCGTAAAGCTCCGCCTTGAAGCACCGTGTCCGCCGCCGCTTGGCAGAGGTGCCAGTTCCCACTTGATAACAGCCCTACCGCTCCGTTCACCGGATTCACGGTACGACCACAGGCCTCAAACAACAACGACTGAAACAAAGCTATAAAAAAAACACAAAAAAATGAAAAAAAAAACATAATTTTAATGTACGTAACAAAATAAAACAAAAATACTATAATGTAAACAGTAAAATAAGTATTTGTCGAGGGGTACCGGGGCGTTGGGTTTCGGGGACGGAGGAAATAAGAGAGAGGAGGTCGCTACGGCCGAAAAACTTGGCGAGAAATAAGGTGGCGTTGCCTTGGGCTTCGGGGGATTCGATCCAGCGTAAGCTCGACCGTAACACGCATGTCTCGCTGCACCCCTTTCGGAGCACTCGGCAACCGTTGCAGCTCATTTTGTTTTTTCCTCAACTATCCACCGTCAGATCTTAATTTAAAAAAAAAACAAAAATTCTTCTTTTGAGTTTGACCGGAGATTTCTTGGGTGTCAAGCAAGCAGGTAAAGAAAGTAAGTGAGGAAAGAGTGAGCTTGAAATACGAACGTATAGCACGAGACGAAAGAGAAATGAGGGAAGGGGGTGTATTAATTAACGTGATGATTAAAGGTTTGAGTTAAGTTAACCATGGTTGGGTTTGGGCTGGTAGAGTTTAACTCTTCTTCCTTTTATGACAGTGGTGGGTACGTGGTGGTGGGGTAATCGAGGAGGGAGGAATATCTTCCAAACTCTGGGCACGAGCGGCTCCGTGTTTCCGCTTCCTTTTTTGTTCTTGTTTTCATGTGCACCGTTGGATTCCATCATTTTGATTGATGTGGATCGTTGGATGGGTTTAGTCCATCCAATTTTTCAATCTTTTCTGTACTTCCCTTTAGTACGAAATTATCAAAAACTAGAAGACTGCGAACCTGATCCTTGACCCTCCTTCCCACCCTAAAACCCTTCAATTATATTCTCTCTTACTAAAATAAAAAACCCACCTGCTTCTCATGCTACCCTAACCAACGAGCAATTCCATATAATCCAAATTATTTTTCATTCATAAATCCACCTATTTATGGCATCAAAGTTTAAAACACCAATGCATAATTATAAATTTAATTAATAGACTCGAAAAAGCACTGAACTTGGAAGGAGTAACTGAGGCTTTGCTTTCTGAGGGAAACAAGGGCTTGTTGTCAAATGACGATGGTGATATTAGTGGGAATCTTAATTGACGTGGGATTGGAAATAATATGCGGAGCCCAGGACGGAACCTGCCATCCTTATCAGCAAATGTGCTACTTTAGCATTTGTCAATATATAGTAATGGAACATATTGGTTGGTAGCAAAAATAATTGATTTTGTTGAGCATAAGCAACTTCTTAACTTAGCTCACCTCAATCCAGCTTTCTTTCCTTCTTTCTTTTTGTTTTCCTTTTAGCTCTCTGAGTACCATTTGATGTACATTGATAGATCAAGGTCCAAAGCTTCAAATCTGTTCCCCACCAAAAACCAAGTTAGCTTAAGCTTTCATGTCTCTCTCTCGCTCGCTCGCACGCTCTCTCTCTCTCTCTCTCTCTCTCTCTCTC